CCCCCCCCCCCAGTGGTGGCGCCCTTGCGAGTGAGTTCGGTCCGACATCATGGGTCGCTGTAACAAACTCAACCCCCACGACTGCATCTCCGACACGCCCTACTTTCGGGCCCAGTTGCAGCTGGTGGAGTCGAATGTGTCCGATCTTGAGTCCTCCATCAAAGGCATCTGCCGATCGGCTCGGTCCTTGATGGAAACCGGCACCGGTGCGCTTCGGTGTCGGGATTTGTGCCCTTGTTTGCCCCTTCCCGGCCTCATACCACGATGTGCCTCCAGACCAGCCATCCAACACCCCCCCTCCGCTCACACCCCCCTTTCTCGCCCCTTCTCGCCCGTTCTGCGCCCATCTCGCTCCTCGTCCGTGCATGTGTCGGCACCGGGCCACCGGATCTCAACGCGCCTTCCTACACACGTCCACACGCGCGTCTGCACGCACACCCAGTGTACATGAACCGCAACAATGGATTTGCCGATGAGCTCCTGCGCTTTTCCGAGTATGAGCGTAGTGGCACCGACTCCATCGGTACGTTCCGGTCGGCCTGGGCCTTTGCATGTGCCTGCCATCCCCCTCCTCCAAGCCCTAACTTCTTGCCCCCCCGCCCTTCCCCCCCCCTCTGCTCTCTGCTCTCTGCTCTCTGCTCTCTGCCCGCCTTCGTCCTCCCCCAATATGCATATATCTTGCGCCCTTCGCTCGCTCCTCTTTTCTCGCCCATCGCAGAGGCCGCTCTGGTTAAATTTAGCCAGAACCTCCGCGAGCTCGAGCAGTTTCGCTCCCTCCTCGTACGCGCAACACCCCCCTGTCCGCTCGACTTCTCGCGTGTCACTCATTATTCCCCCTTCTTCGCCCCTCCCTCCCCCCCTCCCAACACACCTTGACAAAGATCAACGAGACCGACCTCGTCCTCGTGCAGCCAGTCGAGAGCTTCCTGCAAAATGAACTTGGCTCTGTCCATGTACGTCAGCCTCTCCCTCGCCGCTCACCTGCATGAACTGGCCCATTAACTGGAAGATGGACATCTTCCCTCTCCCTCCTTGTTCCCCCCCTCCCCCCCCCCTGCCCCCCTGCCCCC